TATCACTCCCACCCACTCCCTTACCTTCAACTTATGTAGATATTTGAAATTTTGAAAGTAAAAGTTTATAGAAGTTGAATTTTGGAAAGTATATATTCTAAATGTTCATTTGTCATAATTTTGTAAAGTTTAAATTCCTCAAAGTTTAATATTTAAAATGCAAGTTTATAAAATTTATATTTTCAAAAATGAGCATTCGAATTTTTGAAAGTTCAAATTTGTAAAAAGAATCTGGATCTCAAATAGTCAAATCTTTGCAGCGCCCCTTTGGGAAGCTGGAAGAAGGAAAGCATATAGAGTACCATGTTTGTAAGAATAGAATTGATCAGCACTAGTCGTCCTCCATTGGAGAGCAACTTGCCTTTCCAATTGTTCAATTTTTTCTCTAGGCGCTCTTAGACGTGCTTCCACTCCGAGTTAGTGAGGTGTCGATAATGAATAATCAGTATTCCCAAATATTCAATTGGAAATTGGCCTTGCGCGCAGTCAAACAAGTCAGCGTATTGTGTAGCCGCCTCCTTAGCCTCTTCGAAACAGAACAATTCACTTTTGTGGAAGTGAATCTTAAGACCCGACATTTTCTCAGAGGCTGAAAGCAAAAGTTTCAGATTATGAGTCTTGTCCAGGTTATGTCCATAAAGAGAATTGTCTCGACGGCATATTGCAAAATTGATATGCCCGCATCCACAAGGTGTGGCACCACTCCTGCAATTTGGCCGTCATGTTTGGCGCTCTATCAAAGTAGCGAACACGTCGGCGACAATGTTAAATAACATTAGAGACAGTGGATCACCCTGACATAGGCCCTTTTTCATTCGGAAGTAGTGTCCTATGTCATCATTGACTTTAACAGCCACGCTACGTCTAGAAATGAATGTTTGAATCCACTCACGACATTTATCGAAGAAACCTTTCATTCTCAAGGCCTGTTGGAGAAACAATTATTAATTGAGTTTTATGAAATGAATTCTAAGCAGATATCCGTATGGATACCATTACCGTCGGCATTGGTGGAGCCGATAAGAGTCATTGTGCTACTTTGCTAGTGCATTTTTCACAAAATTTCTCATTTATTTCATGATTTGCATGTCCTTTTCTGTATGATCGAATTATTCACTAATTTAGTACCACATTTAGTTTTCCAAAATCATCGAATAAATATAATACCAAAATAACACAATGACTCGTACGCACATCCGGATGTAGCACCGGAGAGGTTCTTTGGTATAGAAAAAGAGGCAATAGACCAGTTCCATTGAATAGGATCAAACTATAATTGTAGTGTGCATCTTCAAGTGCAAAAGGCGGCTGGACTCTTATGGCTATATTAGTCAATGTGATTTTGAGATCAAGCGCAACATAATATAATAAAATGGCTTTCCTATTTTCTAGGAAGACCCAAATAAACAAGCCAGACATAATTTGCATGCACCGACTTATTATTGTCCATATAAAAAGTGGATCATACAATGCGAGAACTAATTTAATTTTCTGGAAGTTAAAAATTTCAGAAGTTAAAATTTATGAAATTTAATATATTTTTCAAAAGCCAGTATTTAAAAAAATTTAAAGTTCAAATGTATGAAACTTGGTACTCTTTTTCTCCACCATTATTAAACAATCAAACAAGAACTTTCTTACGTGCACCCAACAATTAGGCCCACGACACCGCATGAACCGATCAGCACCGCCCGATTAGTCTCACAAATCTCAATCTAACAATCATCATTGATCCAATAGCTCTATGGTGTGCACTCAGCAATTTCCAATCACTGACCGTACTCCACCTCCACCAGCAGAGAAATATTGTAACTACCAGGTCCACGTCCCCTACAATCACGCAACCCATCGAGCACCCAGAGCCGCCTCGCATTATCTCTTGGGGTTGGAACTGTAGGCGCCGCCATCTCCCAATCTGTTCCTTCCATCGCCGCTCCACCCCTGACCCCGTGCTCCACGACCTCCTCTGGTCTACCTCCTTCGTCGCGCCTCATTTGTTTGGAAGCGGCAACGCCTGATCGACAAATCTCACGATGGCTTGCGGCGGCGGATGCCTCAACCTGGAGCAGCACTTCCCCGACTACAGCGCGTACCACAGAAAGCGTCTTCATGCACGCGCTCTTTGTTTGGCCCACCTTCCTCACCGCCCGACTGCTCCTCAACCTAACCTCCTTGTTCCCATGCGCCGCTCGGGAGCCCTCGGCGCCCTCCTCCTCAGTTGGGGCGACAACACTGCCATTGCCACATGTCCCGGCTTCTCTGTCTGATGAAAGGTTACATCACATGACCCCGTTGTTCTTGGCTTCTCCTGGTGATTTATATGTATTCAATATTTATCCATCTCTGATTTGGTGTATTTCTAATTGGCTATGTGAAGAAATAGTTGATTTGCACTGAATTTCTGTATTGGGGAAGGGATATTGACAATTTCTAGTCACATTTGTAGAACAACATCAGGGGTAATTAATGTGAAAAGGGGATATGAATGTTTGTGGCTACACGGCCTCGGCGGATGAGCAATAGTGAGAAGCAGGTGCAGATGGGAGTAAGAGTAAGTATCATCGCGCCACTAGGGTTCTCCCTTCAGTGCCATCACGCCGTGGCTTTCCTCCCTCCCTCTTAGCATGGTGGACCCACCCCGTATCGAGGTCCCAGCCGAACGACGGCCACCGTTGTCTTTCGTTATGCATTCTGTTGTTGTAGCTACAGTGACCATTTAATGAGGATTAGTAGTCAAAAGACAAAGTTAATTTCCTATAGGGGTGGTAAGTGCTCTGCAGGGAGAGCCCTCCCCCGGACCTCACACCCCACGCGCAGCTGGCCACTCCGGCCACGGCGGCCACCCAGCCCCGCCGTCGCCCGTCGGGCGTCGGCGCCATCCAAAGGGCGCCATGCGTTCAGCCTCCCCGCCCAGCTCAGCGCGCTCCTTGTGATCCGCGTCCAATGATAGATCGGGATGGGGAGTGCGCGCCTCCATCTCAGATCTCGCTCAGTCCTCTGATCTGTCCCATGTACCTGACTCCCTGCCGGCCGTGCCATCGCCATTACAACTGGCCGCTGCCTCACCGTGAATCCTGCTGCGGGGCAAGTGCTCCCATGCCGCCGCTGCATCGCCTCCGCCAATGGTCTGTGCGGTGGATCCCACCTTCGGGGCGCCCATGCTAAAATCCATTATGGTTAGACCCTCCCCCAAGTCAAAGCATTCCTCTTCTGGCGACGACGATGGATGGACAAAAGTCAAGTCGCGGAAGGAGTGGCGCGCCCTCAAGAACCCATCGGCCGGCCTGCGTCCTCCGCTCCCCGGCGCTTGATACGTCTCCAACGTATCTATAATTTTTAATTTTTCCATGCTGTTATATTATCATTATTGGATGCTTTACAATCATTTTATAGTCATTTTATATCATTTTTAGTACTAACCTATCGACAGTGCCAAGTGCTCGTTATTGTTTTCTGCATGTTTTTATATCGCAGGAAATCAATAACAGACGGAGTCCAAATGCAGCGAAATTTTTGAGGATTTTTTTACACTAGAAGACATCCAGTGGATCGGAGAAGCACCCAGGGGGTGCTCCGAGGGGAGCACAGGTGGGTTGTGCCCACCT